GACTGAGCAGAGCAGATGCTGCATAGGTGAAGGGAAACAGAACCTTATGCTGACTGTTTTCCACTCTGTTTAGTACAGTTTGTCCCCATCTCTCCTGGCTGTAGTCCTGCTGTGCATCCAGCCAAAAAATGCATTAACCATGCAAAAAATCAGACACGTTGTTATCAGTCTTGTGCTGGCTAAGGTAAATTCAGTCAAAGTCTTGGTGGGTCCAAACACTCCATATGCCTATCAGATCTTCTACAGAGTGCTCAGTCTTGTGCCATACCTGGCTACTGGGCAGATACCAGTGGACAGAGTCATGCACAGTGTAGTTAAGACTACATGGCTCAATGCCATCTCTAGAGCTAATGGGATGGTGAGAAAGAAGGGTAAATGGTGGGCAGCATGCTGCTCAGAACCAGCAAGTGAGGAAACACCATTCGTGGGGAATGCTTGCCTTGTTCTGCTTGTGGGGAGCTGTCTTGTGTGACACAAAGGGAATTAAATCCTCACAGTCATTTACTGGCAATGTGTAGCTCAGCCACAGCACCTTCCTAGTCAGGACTCCAGCTTTTATTCTTTACAAGAGAAAATAGAAAAGAGAACCTCAGCACCCCCAGTGACTGTAACAATATCTGAGAGCCTGTCAGAGTGAGCTTTAAAGAAAAGAAAAGGAGTAAATAATTCCTTTGCTGAAGCAGAAGAATAACAAGCAAGAAACCAGTCTGTCTGTAATATAATGTTAGCCTTGAAATGTACTGTGGCACAGCATTTTCCTTAAAATATAGCTTAGGAATGGGAAGTGGAGCTGAAATTATGCATCAAATATTCATGACTTTCATCAGAAAACATAAGCACGCACTAATGCATGTTTCCTGAGATTTACTTCCATTTGTTTGGAGAAGTTTTGGCACGCCTGCTGTCAAGATGAAAAAGCTGGACAGGCTAACGAAAGTTCACCAACCCGGGAGAAAATCTCCATCTTTATCCCTCTCATTCCTCTGCCTTCAGAACACATCACCTAACTTGGAAGACAGGTAAAAAAAGGGACACCACCTTAGTGAGCCACAGACATAGCATCCTATGAGCTGCATATAGCACGACAGGCACCACTGAAGGTTGGAAAGGGAAATGTGGAAGGGAGGCACTCAGTGCTCTCAGTTGGCAGAGCACACGAGGAGAGGAGCACAAAGAGCCTCCAAATCTCAGGCAACTGCGTCAGAGCTGAAGAACTGCACACAAGAAAAGTGGCTGTGAGGTGGAAATGTCACACAGAGCTGCAGCGGGTCTGGTGTAAACACCTGGCTCTATCACAGGCTCTTTTGCAACTGCATGTAATCCACACAGGTCAGGATTTGTTGTCTAAAAGTGAGCGAGCAGTCCCTGGTCTCTGCAGGCTGAATGTGTATGAGAGCAGCCCTTGGAGCAGGGCTTGTGCAGCTGCCCGTAAAACAGCCACTGCAGCAATGCTCGGTGGCAACGGGCACAGCTTTGCAGAAAATCAACAATCAGAAGCAGTGTTCTTCAGCTAGTTCAGAAACTGGGAGAATCTATTAAAAAAAAAAGCTATCCTTCTTTAACAGAACAACAAGAGATATAAAAACTCTTCTGCAGTGACAATACGTGGGATAATTAGCATGGGAGGGGGTAGAATTTCTCAGTATTATTATATGCCATTAACTTTCAAATCTCATTGAGAGTGCTTCGTTACACCTCTGTTTGTAGCAATGAAGCCTGAAACTTCATGACGCCTTCTCACAGAATCCAAGAACCTTCACATTTACTGAATTGAGTTCCAGTGAGTTGGCAAAAGTGGAAGTGCTCAAAACCATTATTCTGAACAGGCTGAATGATGTCCATCAAAGCAAACATCCTGAAAACACTCCTTTTGAGGCACTTGTTGAACACAATCATCTCGAAATGTCATATTCCCCCTCATTTACATAATTTGACAGCTTCCAAGAAGACACCTTGATTAGCATCACATTCAAGTGTCAAGATGTACGGAGAAAAAGTGCCAAACAAAAGTTAAATCCAAGGAAGTTGTATCAGCTATTAGATATTATAATACAGTTACTACCAAAGTAGATTTTTCACTTAAGTGGAAAATACACTTTAAATTCAAGATTTCTTTTTTTTTTTTAATTTATAAAGAGGCCCTTGGACCAGCTCCCATGTTTCCTACCAGTGAAATCCCCGCGCTCATTGAACCCAGAAGGCAGGCAGACGTACAGCACAGCAACGTGCTTTGGCAGGGGGTGAACCCCAAGACCACCACAACTGAGCTCCTGGAGATACCACTCCTAATTTCTTGTGGCAGCCACTGGAAGTTACGAGTCTTCAGTATCTTCAGATTACAACTTCAGTGCCATATGTTGTGTATCTGAATCTCTAAATGAGAAGATTCTTTTAAAAAATCTTGGCCTTGATTTGCATATGCTTCAGTTATGTCATTACACCACAGTACAAAATACTATGCATGCTTTATATAGGGGCTTCAGGCTTACTGTGTGTTTGTGGCATGCTTTGAGATCCTCTGATAGGAGGTGTTACCTAAATAGAAGTAATTAGATGCTTAAGTGTCTAGAATTCCCAGTGGACATCTGCACTCGAGCCCTGCTGCCATCACAAATGAAAAACATTTGGAATCCTTAATGTGATTTTTAATGGACATATGTTCATAACACAGTGCCACCAATTTGGCATATTTAGTGTCTTCTCTAGAGAAGCCCACAGTTTGTATAGCAAGATTGTGGGAGGTTAGGATTGCAGTGTGAGAAAATTTGCACAACACCTGCCTGCCTATAATTTAATTGGCAGAATCTAATGCTGCGGGTTTGGGGATTTTTTTCTCCACTCCAAACTGAAGAGGCACGAGGACTAATCCTGCACTGCTACGCTGTCAGCTTGAAGCTTTTATTCAGACTCTAACTGTGCTGCAATATGATCATTTTCTGGCCCTGTCCTTTTTTTCCCCCCTTCAATCTGAAGTATTCCCGTTTTACTCTCAGTTGATTATTTCTATGTATAATGACTTGTACGGGACCACCAGCAAAGACTGTGATTATTGCTGTACTCCTCTGGAAAGAAAGAGAGTCTTCCCAGTGTTTGAGAAGAATGTGCCACGTTTTATTTGTACTGAAGTACTTAATGAAAACATTTGGGCAAAATATTTCTGCTCACAAACACCACTGGCATTATCATATCGGCTCTGATTTTACCTTTGCTTACGGCAGAGCCCCTTCTGAAGCAATCTCCAGCACCTCTTATCCTAACAGATTTTTGTTTTCCTTTTCAGGAATGTTTGGCCTTGCTGTGCATCAAGGGCAGCCCCTCTTACTTCACTATTTTTTTTCCCCTTTGCATTTACAACACACAATAAAAGGCTTTGCAGGAGAGATAGAGGATATGGTCCCAGGGGAAGCATTCCCATGGCCACTGACCACTGTGTGCTCGTGAGGTTCGGCCCCGCAGCGCCTGCAGCTCAGAGTGCAGCTTGGTGCTGCTCTGGCACACCCAGCTCTTCGGGGCTTGCAGCTCTGCTGTCTGCACCAGTGAGAGCCTTGCAGGAAACACCTCATTGACTGCATGAGCCTGAGCAGGCGGTGGGTTAAGAATATCCTTTGCATCAATTTTGGTGCTTCAAGAAACTCCCAGAAACTTTTCTCGGATTTCCAAATTCACCGTTCTGTGAGCTATTATTGATGGTATCTCACATGACGGTAGAACACCCGCTGATATAAAAAATGCCAGAATTTAGCAGTGCTGGGACTAACTGGAAGCGGAGTGCAATGAAATGGCACAGGGGTTATTTCTACACTGATCTTTGTCTGAAATATGTCAGTCCTCACACTCTGACTACGCAGGCAAACTGACACAAAGATCAGCCTCTGTTTGTAGACGAGATGGTTTAAAATGGAGTGGCAGAAGGCAAGGAGCTGGCAGACAGGCAGAGTCAGGAGCAGTCGGGGGAGACCTAATTCAAGCACAGGTTAATGTCCTATTGCACCCACAGGATGCCGAGTAAAATAACAATTTTTTCTTTGGGGCGTGGGGGGTAATTGCTGAGGCAGTTGGTGACCTGCCTCTTCTCCAAGTTGTAGAGATAGATAACAATTGCTCAGCTTGCATGAGCCTATAGTGAGCCATAACCAGAAATTCTCCAGTGCTGAAGCTCAGCATTTAGATTTACATTGCGTGCTTTTTTTAGAATCACATGGACAAAAACAAGACCTCCAGGCAGGAGCATACCATGGTTCTTCAGGCCTGTCAGTGCACAGCACTGAACTTTATCCACAGACCAGGCAGAGCAAACACACCTCAGCCGAGCCCCAGCTTCACAGCCAACCTGCGAGCATCAGCTCTCTGTGCCAGCTGCTGGATTGCGCCAGCTCCCCGTTCCAGGTTGTACCCAACCTCTTCCACACACTGAGACGTTGTGACGCTTTTGGTTTCGAAGCTAAACTGCATCAAAGTGCGGTTAAACTTCATCAAAGTTTTGTAACTGCTCCAAAGAGCAAATCTAGGGACCAAGAACTACTGCTTCCAGCATTCATTAATCAGACCTGTTAAATGATTACCTCGCCAGGGCTGTTGACAACTTCGCACGATGACAGTGTGTCAGTGGCAGTGTCCCAAAACACAACCAGTGGTGATGTAAAGGACAAGCCTCCCTCACCTCACCGGTGGGATGGACAGCACAGACAATATTTAAGGAAGGAGAACACCACCTCAGAAAACAACGAGCACTCCAAAGCAAGTGAAACACCATCAGCTGAAAGGGACCCAAATCCCCACTGATATCCATCCAACTCAACAGTAAGTACAACGCTTTCTATATATATTTTTTCCAGCTTGAGATTAACAGTGATTAAAATTCTTTTCGTTGACTTTAGGCAGAGTTATAAAATTAAGCCTGCTACAAATTCTGGTCTTTCATTATGCATCATTAAAGGTAGAATATCACAGTATGCTAACAAACACAATATATTTGATTTTAGATTGTGATCAGTATTTCAAAGCCCTCAACAAGAGTCCCTGCAGCTGCAGTAATGCCCCCAGAGCTGAAAGCTGAGGTCAACGTCATGCCTAAGGTTATCCAGGGGGACTTGGAGAGCCTGCCTCCACAAGTGAGGGAGTTCATTGAAAGCAATGCCAAGCTGTGCCAGCCTGAGAGCATTCATATCTGCGATGGCTCAGAAGAAGAAAACAAAAAAATTCTGGACATCATGGTGGAGCAAGGCATGATCAAGAAGCTGAGCAAATATGAGAACTGGTGAGTAGCAGAAAAGGGGGTCAAGGAGTGTCTCAGAATAGCAAAGTGCATTCTCTGTCCCGTTTACATTTAAAACTGTTCATAACCTTCAATATTTGCTTTCCATGAACATTTTGGCACTGCAGTTTACATAGTTGAAATAACTGAGAACAGCAAACTTTTCCTGTAAAAATTAACATAAAACACAGGAATATCAGCAGTTGTCTCTATTTATTAGTTACATGAATCAGGGAACTGAAATAATGTCATGAGACTTACGTAACTAATCATTAGGAGTGGTTGAATATTATTTAGCAAATAACATCTTTTGAAGAATTCTACTATTTTAGTCAATTAGTTTATTCGTCAAATACTTTTTTTGTGGCATTCAAATAGATCCGTGGGTGTTCAAATGTTATTCAGTCGAGGCATTATTCACATCATGCCAATGAGTTTTGACTGTAATATATTCAGCAAATACGTTTTTCAAATATTTCGTTGTCTCTCCCAACTAACCCAACATGAAAGGAGAATATTAACAACAAGTACATGCTAAGGAATTAAGTGCCAACCAAGAAATCTTCATGGAAGAAATCTGCAAAGACTTTTGAATAACTAAGTGGAGGAATTTGGCAATCTGTTTGCAGACTATTTGGGAGAGAAAAGGGCAAGATTCACCAGATAAATTATTCATTGTTAATTATATGCTTAGCTGTAGTGATGATGGTTATGACAGCCCAGCTAGAACATTTTTATACTCGTGGAAAATTTCTATGCACAGAGGTGAAAACGTAAAACAATCCTTGCCTTTGTAAATAAATGGCAAAAATTTTTAGAGGGGAAAAAAGAATTCTGTTTAGTAAACTCCATCACTGTTTATGACACGCTTATACTCAGTATTTCTTTTGTGATGCCTCTGTCTTAAAAAAACAGTGTGAACCTACAAGGCTGCATTCTCATTCTGCAGGCATTTTGACCAGCACATAACACACTTGCTTGGCATCCACTCTGCTTGAGGCACCACTTTGTGGGTCCCACGCAAAACAACTGTATACTGATGAGAAGGAGAATTAAACGAGATTTTTAACATTTCTCTCAAAGTCAGCAGCAGAAAATAAAGCCAAGATAAGAGGCAAAGGAACATTAACATGTAACCAGAATTTCCCAAGCCATATAATTTGTTATTCATACTGCAAAGTCTTGAAGCAATTTGTATGAGAGAATATATCTGACTAATTTTTGAAATTTGTCTCAGTTATATTGGCTCTGTCACTTCAGTTTTATTCTTATAAAACACTGTACCCATTTTGCTAAAGAGTTCCTAGCAGAAGGGTGAAAAACGTGGGTGAAGTGTCATATCGATCCTTTTTTTTTTAATAATTAATATTGATTTTCCTGATTTACACTGAAATGCAGCTGGTTGGCTCTCACTAACCCAAGAGACGTAGCAAGAATCGAGAGCAAAACTGTCATTATCACTCAAGAACAGAGAGATACCATTCCAATCCCTAAAACTGGAACCAGCCAGCTGGGTCGCTGGATGTCAGAAGAGGATTTTGAGAAAGCTTTCAACACCAGATTCCCAGGCTGCATGCAAGGTGGGTGAGAAAGAAAGGCTGACGTTGAATTTTTAGGATTACTGAAACACTAATCATTATTATTCCGATATTTAATAGAAGAAATGCTCGCTGAAGGCTTAGGTGCAGGCCCTCAATGGTAGTCATTGTGTAGGTTTCATGCAGATCTTCTGCACAGATCCACGCTGCCCAAGGGTAGTTGTCAGCCTCTTTCCAGTAGAGAACTCACTTTCCTCATGAAGAGGGGCACAGTATGGTTGGAAAATTCAGGTGCTTTCTTCAAGTCACGCAGCACCTCAGCAGCTGATAGAAAGTGAGGCGAGAACAGAGAATCCCCGTGCCCAGCATTCACTTCAGCTGCAGCAGTTTACACCAACAGAGAAGCTTCCACCCACCTCTCCTACTGGCTAGACATTTTGTCTGAACAGCTGCTTTCAACATTTAGGATAAAACTTCTTGCTATGTGATCTGACAAACAGCAAGTTAGATGTTTAAACATCAGAGACACCCACAAGACAAACAGCTTTTAAAGAAGTGAGAAACAACCTCCACATTAGTACAGATTATTTCAAAAGTTCCCTGGTTTGCTCTTTGTCACGTAGCATTCTTGCTCCTCTCCCTATTCTATAGGACGCACAATGTACGTCATCCCCTTCAGCATGGGGCCTATTGGATCTCCTTTGGCCAAGATTGGGATTGAGCTGACAGATTCTCCATATGTGGTGGCTAGCATGAGGATCATGACACGGATGGGAACGGCTGCTCTGAAAGCCCTGGGCACTGGAGAGTTTGTGAAATGCCTTCACTCGGTTGGATGTCCTCTACCACTAAAAGGTAGGGAAGATTTAAATGTGTCACCCCTGGAAGTACTTGGGCATGTTTCAGAGCTGGCTGCATGTTCTTAGCACATTGGAAATGCTCATCATTAAAGATTTGGGGTGGTTTGTGTAATTGCACTGGGTTAAAAAGTCAATTAAAGGAATCAAAGCTCAACGAGAGTTTCATGGAAAGGAGATTATCATCACTAGTATTTACCAGAGGCTTTCCTTTGAAGCATCTGGTATGGGTTGCTGTCAGAGTCTCGATGCTGATGAAACAGCACAGTCTGATACAGCACGGAAATTGCTGCATTCATGAGTACAACATTCTGTTCTGCAGAACCATTAATCAACAACTGGCCATGCAACCCAGAGTTAACACTGATTGCTCATCTCCCGGATCGCAGAGAGATCATTTCGTTTGGCAGCGGCTACGGAGGAAACTCCTTACTGGGGAAAAAATGCTTTGCTCTTAGAATTGCCAGCAGAATCGCCAAGGAAGAGGGCTGGCTAGCAGAGCACATGCTGGTAAGAGCTGTTGAGTCGTGATGTGTGTTTGAACAACCATTAAACCTGAATTTAGACCAACATAAATACAGTCACATCTTGAGATCAACACAATGACAGTCTCATATGAACAGTGCTGTCATGTTAGGTACGAACTTGTCACTTAGAAGGCTTTTGATAAATAGGAAACTGCTTGCAAGTTCAAGTACCAAACATTTTAAAGAAATACATATAAAATTGGGAACCAAGAAAGATTAAGAACGTCTGATGGTGGCTACTTGTGGGCAGATCTGTGCACTGAGCAAAGCCTAAATGTAATCACTGAGCATCCTCACTGACCCTACAAATGGAACCATAAAGAATTAATGCAAGTCTGAAAATTGTCTCACATATTATAAACAGTCTGTGGACTAAAAATTCTGCAGTGTTGTCACTTAATTATTCTACTACTGTAAATTACAACTGACAAAAAGAATCTCAAAGTGCGTGATTGAAGAGTCTCAGGAGAAATGTCAATGTACTATGAGAAGTATCATGCCTAAAGTGCACTCACTCCATACTAATTTTACAGTAAAAAAATATTGCCTGTTTTTCTTAGGTCTCAGTTAAGAAACACAGCTATATGCAGCCTGTATATTTTTAATCAGAAAAATAAAAAGATGTTTGAATCATACATATGTGACATTTCTAAAAATATAAGGTCTGTTTGCATATAATCTAAGGGCAAGACAAGTGGATTTTTTGCTGAATTAAATACTGCCTGTGTTATTTGTCAACTATATTACATGCTGCTTCTTTTGTAGGAAGAATTTTGCATAATCAAATGTTTTACCATTAGCACTTGCTGGGAGACAGTCTTTAAAATGAAAAATGCAAGAAGAAAGAACTATATTTAACAACTGTCTTTGATTTTCAATAGATCCTGGGAATTACAAATCCAGAAGGTGAAAAGAAGTATTTTGCTGCAGCATTCCCCAGTGCATGTGGAAAAACCAACTTGGCCATGATGAACCCAAGCCTGCCAGGATGGAAGATTGAGTGCGTGGGTGATGATATTGCCTGGATGAAATTTGATGAACAAGGTATGGAACTGAAATTACATTGGTGAATAGCCCAGTATGGTTTGCAAAAGCTCTAAAAAGAGTCAGCAAGACTTGCTAAAAGTTCTGCAAATAATTAAAACAGTTTTATTTACTTATATTTTGTCATTTCACTTCCAGGCAACTTAAGGGCAATCAATCCAGAAAATGGTTTTTTTGGTGTTGCCCCTGGAACCTCAGTCAAAACAAACCCCAATGCTATTAAAACCATATTCAAGAACACCATCTTTACCAATGTAGCTGAAACAAGTGATGGCGGTGTCTATTGGGAAGGCATCGATGAGCCATTACCACCAGGAGTAACACTGACTTCTTGGAAGAATAAGGATTGGACCCCAGATAATGGTAACCTGGCTCTATTCCACATTCTCTCATCTTTCTCTGCTGAGTTCAAGTTCCATCTGCCATTACGACCTTTCTATCATATTCTGTACAGGGGAACCTTGTGCTCATCCCAACTCGCGGTTCTGCACTCCAGCCAGCCAGTGCCCCATCATGGACCCTGCATGGGAATCTCCCGAAGGCGTGCCCATTGAGGGGATAATATTTGGAGGCCGCAGACCTACTGGTAAGAGAAGCAGAAACCACACAGCAAGTCTGAAGTGCTCATCACAGAAGAGCTGAAACGTAGCTGGGCACAGGCACAAGTTTTGCTATCACAGTAGCAGAAGCAAGGAGATAACCACGTTAGTTGAACTTCTCCATGTTAGCCTTTCACACACACGCTTGCAGACACTTACAATGTGTAAACTGTTAGATGTTAACACAGAACAGTTACTGATAGGAGTGGATTGGAGAGTGGAGAGAGATCAGGACCCAGTACCTCGGCAGGAGAAGCATAGCAAATTATTTATGTCAAATTGCTAGTTCAGAGAGGAAATGATTAGAGATTAAAACCAATTGTAGGCAGTTTACAGGTAAAGAAGTTAAATAAATTATTCTGTTAAAGACCACCTAAGCTGAAAAAGAGAAGTAATGCTAGGCCTGAATCTAATACCACCATCGTGACCAGAGGACCAGAATACGCTTCCAATAAAATTTGTTGGGAGTTCAGATATCTCCCAGCTGATGTGTTCAATAATCAGTAGCCAGTTTTGAAAACATTCATATAAATTGCTCTAAGAAGGCAGGAAATTAACCAAGTTAAAAATCAACAAGAAAAATTAGAATAAATTACATAATAACCGGGATCCAGCAGTGTCTCAGTTAGCAAAACCTGTCATAAAAATGCTTCTGGATCACTAATCACCGAAGTGACTTTGTTCTTTACAGGTGTGCCTCTCGTATACGAGGCCTTTAACTGGCAGCATGGAGTATTTATAGGAGCAGCTATGAGATCTGAAGCAACAGCAGCTGCTGAGCACAAAGGTAAATCAAAATCTACTCTGCCTATCTGTATTACAAGCAACCTTCTCTGGAGAGCCTGCTCTCTGTCCTCCCCCTCTGCTCTTTAACATTTAAATCTTGGCAGCTAATTGTGCAACCTATGCATTTTTACAACAGAAAATATTTATACTGGAATTAACAGCCAGATTTTCCTTAAAAGACAAATTATGCAAAATAATCCCCTAGGTGGCAAGCATACAGAACAGAGTGCAATCATGGCGTTGCCAGAAGAGTTGATATGGAGTTCTTGTTACAGTCTGGGATAAGTAAACTTTAATTTTCTGTTCTGCTAGTGCTCAGCAAAAAATAAATGAATAATGAAGGCCAGCTCTCAAGAACCTTAAACTGTTTGACCTGAGATTTAAGAAATTTACTTTCCAGTGAATGCAAAGATTAAATTAATTTGTACTTCAAGGCTAACATTTGTACTATTTCTCAAAGTCCTGTGGTTCACATGCAGAAAGGTGGCTAAAGGTGCTGGGTAATAAAAACTGGGAGGAACTGAAACTTTGTGCTTTAGAATAAACGTTCTCCATTTGTGTTTTGAACAGGAAAAATTATTATGCACGATCCATTTGCCATGAGACCTTTTTTTGGCTACAACTTTGGCAAATACTTAGCACACTGGCTTAGCATGGCACACCGCCCAGCAGCAAAACTACCAAGGATCTTTCATGTTAATTGGTTCCGGAAAGACAGCCAAGGGAAATTCCTGTGGCCTGGCTATGGAGAGAATTCCCGTGTGCTGGAGTGGATGTTCAACAGAATTCAAGGGAAAGCCTCTGCCAAGCCAACTGCCATAGGTTACATCCCTGCTGACACTGCTTTGAACTTGAAGGGTTTAGAAGACATCAACTTAACTGAACTGTTTAATATCTCCAAAGAGTTCTGGGAAAAGGAGGTGGAAGAAATCAAACAGTACTTCGAGGGGCAAGTTAATGCTGACCTTCCCTATGAAATAGAAAGAGAAATGCTTGCCTTGCAGATGAGAATAAAACAGTTGTAGCTGATCAGAAATAGAATTACTTCCCAATCCACACATTCTATGAGAGGATAGAAACATTTTACTAAATCACCACTGAAAGTACAGCAGCACACTGATGAGCAAGGGTTATGATGAAGAATAGGTCGTAGTTTAGTTAGACTACAGGTGAGGGCAGACCTGGTGATTTATAACTACATCAGTTGTTGTGTATTGTTGAGCAGCTGTGGGAATCTGTGAGCACACAGTCTTCAAAACTGTGATCTGTCACTTGCATGCACAATTCTGCACATACCTATGATGTATGTAAATTGCTTGCTGACAGCTCAGTAGATATAATCCAGCCTGCAAGGTGTAGCACATTGTTTCACAACTGCACATAAACCACGAGAGTCTCAGATTAATTTTGTTTTTCATATCTCAGCAGCATCACTTACAGGAAAGAATGAAAAATAAATGTTGTATATATGTATTATCTAAACACATGTCACGACTTAAATATTTTGTAGAAAAATAAAGTTGTAACTTTTATCAGAGTGAAAGATGGCTTTGTATTACTAATGCATATTTAAGATATTGCTATTATATGTGCCTCATGTTACTGTGATTTCCAGATGTTTTACATGGCTTATTCTTTAAACTATTGAAATAAAAGTTTATACAAAACATGACATAATTTCCAGTATTCTCACTGTTTATAAAACTACGTGCCAACAAATTGGGCCTCCTGACAATACCACAGCGCAGAGACAAGTTCACAAGTTAGATGTTGACTAGCATTGATCTGCTACTCTTAAGCAAAATAGTTTAAACAACTACTTTCCTTGCAACCTTTATTCAAGCCAAAGGAACGATACAGAAATTATGACACAACTGAGAGCTGCCATCCAGCTAGATGTGTACTCTCCATAACTGGGCATTATTGTTGCTTCAGACCTTTGTAAAATAAACTGCCTTCTAGGAAAGTCCTGTATAAGGACGTTGCTCGTTTGCTGAAGTCTTAGGATTTGTCTCTGTTCCACAGTACTTTGGCTTCTGCAAAAAGAACTAGCAGAACTGCTGAAGCAAAGAGGGCTTGTGAAAAGCTTTCTAGACTGAGGTGTCTGAAGACTGAGATTGAGCTGAAAGGGCCTCAGATTGGTTTCCTCATAGATCAAGATTGTAAAACCATCCCATGTTCTCCCAGTTTAAGATATCCTTTATGTGCTTCTCACATCCTTGGCAGGTATCACGCTTTTTCACTTTGAATGCTTGATCTCCCAAAATATATTGCAAATATTTGCTTAGCAAAAAGAAAATCATTTACACTGTGTAATAAGCCTTTTTATAGACCTTGCTTCCTCCCAAAACAAACAGTATCAGAGCTGGTCAACAGATGCCCTTCCAAGTTTGCTAGGAGAGGTCACACATCCTGAAAAGCTGCTGACTGCCTCCTGGCTTCGCCTGTAGGAGTTAACTCAAACATCACCAGTTCTGAAACAAGCAATACGACAGAAGTCGGTAGCTCACACAAAATGTAGACAGCAGAAAGCTGTGAGGGAAGCAGAGAAGAGCCGTGCAGCCCCTGGAGAAGTGATTGTCTGTTGGCCTGTTTGCTGCTCAGTAACCCATCTTCATGGGTGCGTGTCTCCTGAATGTGCTCCAGATCCAAATCGATCAGTCGATCAAGGGGGAAGACTCTAAACAACTCAGTGTATGCACGCTTCTCTAGGATGCAAGGAGTGCCATCGTATGTATAAAACAGAGTTATTTATAATTCTGTAGTTGATTGGCTTGGTCCATTCCCAAATTTGTGGCTATTTGGGAGCTGCTATTTAGGTAAGATTGAGGACAAGGAGATCTCAGGGAATCCATCGTGGTAATATCAGAGTGATAGCCAGCTGCAGTCTCAGGATTTCTTAAGGGCCCCACGAGAGGCTCTTGGTTCTGAACAATGCCAGAACACTCAGCACGTTTTGAAATGCTGCCCAGGAGATGTGCAGAAGTTCAGGGCTTTCCAGAGTGCTACGAATCTGACAAAGGAGTGGCTCATGTTTCGTGTCAGAGGAACCCACGCCAAAGGCCCAAATCTTGCACGTGTATGGACCTGGATAAGGGAGTGACCCTTGTCCCATGAAATGCTGCTCAGTGGCAAGACAGGTACCATCATTGTGAGCCCACATGACTTACAGCTCATCCCCACCTGCAGGTATTGGTGGCACAAGGTGTTGCACTACAGCTAAGGCATCACTTCAACCTGATGGCCGCAGCCTGACAGGCTCTGGGCAAACCCTGCTCTGGGTGTTCTTCCCACAGCTCCTCAGAAAAGCTAGCACAAAAAATTCTGGCAAAAAGCACTTGTGGTCACCTTGCTCCACACGTTTTAACCACACGTACCTCCTCACACACTGCTCAGAGTGATGGGCAGATAAATTGTTCCTGCAAATACAGAAAATGGGGGGAAAATCTGCTGTTCAGTGAAGGCTGAGAATAAGAAAATAACTTCTCACGTGAATCATTCAACAGCTCCTTTGTATGTAAATGTATCTGTAACCTATCAGCATCTATGGGGAGTGCAGTTCACATCCTGAATGATCACAGTGTTTAGTGTTGGCATAGAGAATGTTTAAAAAAGAGAAGGCGGAGGTTTAAAATTTAGAAACTCGGTCAACCGAGCCAGATTATGATCTCAACTTCTCTCCTTCCAACAAATACTATGCTCCACAAAAACAAAGTGAATTACAACAAAATGCTCTTAAATTGAAATTTGGAATTTCCCCTGCTTTTCTAAAGAAAGAGGGGAAGACGACAAATGTAATAAACTTCATCAAATTAGTAGAGAAATATAAAATGTGCCCTATTAAATGAGATTCAGAGAAAGGAAGCACAGAAAAGACTAACGCATGGAAGTACATAGCCATAACATTTGCAGCAGCTGTGTTATGAAATGCACTTGGTATTCTGGGAAGCGAGAAACAAAATACTTTGTTAAAACACTTGTGGATGTACCAGAGGCTGACGAGAAGAGAGACAAAGACAAAAATCACACCTTAACCATGAATGCTATTGGGAATACGGGCTTACTTCTGTCATGATTTACCAAAACCAGATGGCACAATGATGGACACACCATGCCTATGGGGGCCCTGCTCAATGGTACAAAGTTAGCACAGTCTCTTTAACTCACTGGTCTCAGGGTCAAGTACTCACATTAGCACAGATAAGTCTGCACAGCTCAGAAGCAGGCCTTGGTCCAACCTTCCAACCTCTGTACTAATTATGAAAGGGACTGGAACCTGGGAATGATTCCTTCAAAACCCATTCCCAGGTTCCAGTCCCTTTCATAATTAGTCTGAGTACATCATATATCAACACACCTCTGTCCTTTCGACATGAATGAAGGCTACACCAAAGAAAGAAGTAAAACTGAGACGCGGCATCTAGCTTGCTGCAGAGCTTTTCATCGGAAAAAACAACATCCCACTCCAAATCTCACAACTCTGTGATGATAGAGCTATTTTCAGGGAAAGAAGCAAAATTCAGAGAAATGGCATTTTTGCTGTGGGAAATACTGTTTTCCAAAAACCTTGGCTACCATAGTAACATGATTTATTCCATACTTGCGGCAGTGCAGTCAATTAGCTCCCTCACTGAAAACAATTATTGCGACTACAGACATACCTGGCTGCAAGACTACTAAAAAGCTGCTCATGAATGGCACAGCAGAGCATTCCAAATTCCAGATTAGTAATTGTTATTGGCGATGACAGAGGACACTTTGGACACTTCTGGCAGTGGTTGAACCTCAGCAGCACAAAAGGGCACATTTGTCAAATCGGTGCTGGCACACCTCAGTCAGCAGCATTCCACAGTGCATCCCACCACGTCTGTGAATCTCTATGTGGAACAGCTAGGTGTAAAAAAGAGGAAAGGGAGGAAATGAATTGCTATTGTGTGCCTTCTAGCTTTCTGCAGCCATCACAGATATTCCTTCTGCCTGACAAACTAATAGAGAAGGATACACAGATATGCAAAATTCAGGCTGATGCTGATCATTGCAAACACAATTTCTTTGCTGTGAAGGGTGCGTGGAAGAGCCCCAAGCTGTTCCAACACACACAGAAGGCATTCCCTGCTTTCACTACCACCAGTGGCATTGGCCACTGCTGCCTTGCCTCTGCTCCTCATCATGTTAGCTTCACTGCACTTGCCATGGCTTTTCTCCAGTGTAAGTGTGAGCAGATGTATGCTGACTACAGCTCTTGTTCAAATCAATAAGCTGCTAGCAGAACCGTTCCAAACACACACCCTAGAAATGGTATTTGTACCTTCCTTGGAAGTGTTGGATACTGACCACTGAGAAAAACAAGAAAAAAAAGACAGAAAAAAAAAAGAAAATAAAACATCTGTTATAATCTTCCCAAAGGAACATATAAAAGCTTTGGGGCTGTTTTTGCACAGCCTCAAGGCCTTGTATTCATCTAAAAGAATCTTTTGTAAAGCTGCAGTTTGTCGTTGTAAGTCTTCATCCAAACTGCCAGCAGTTGTTCTTGTTCTTACAAAGCACCACAACAGCATTTCCCAAGCAAAGGTGCCCAAGGAACGGCCTTTCCCAGAAATTTGTTCCTGATATACAGCTGTGTTCCAGGACAAATGAAACTCACCCTCTATGAGGTGGACAGGCCAGCCATCAGCCCCCACTCGTGCTACCAAAGCACTGTGATTTGCATTTATGTGCTGCCAAGCCTAGAGCAGCTCAGCCCTCCCAGGAACGATTCCTGCTGGCACAAGGCATTGAGACCTGAGCAAACCTTCCAGAGGTGACAGCACACTGCCCCGACTCTGGTGGAGAACCTAACTCCTGGTCTCTAATGCAAATTACTGCCTACTTTCCTTCTCCTATTGCCCATTCAAGTATGATCTCATTAAAATAAGCATGCCTGAATCTCTCTTCCATCTTAGGCTGAAGCCCTCAATACTAAACAGCAAATTTGTGAAGGGACACAATGCCAGAGAAGGTCAAGGACAAAGCCTCTGATGATCAGGATTCTGGGTTTGGTTTTGTACATTTGGTCTGTTTTGTCCTTGGAACTGGGGAGCCTACCAACAGTTATTTGAAGCTCCAGTGATAGCCAAAGGAAAAAAAAAAAGCTATAAATTTAAGTAGGATAGCAGCTGGGAACTGGAGGGGGAAGAAGTTTGATAACTGTGAGTCTTACAGAACAAAAACAATACCCCTCTGACACGGTAAGTAGAAGCAGGCCTCAGATTTCATGAAGTTTTCTTGGACTTCATAGCAACAAGACAGAAAGCTGGCTCCATTTCATCATAGTTATCTGCACTCAGACACCCCTCCACCCTTGAAGGAGATTAGCAGTGATAATACATCTGGTACCTGCCCCAGCAATAACAGATCTATGTGGAGAAGATTACAAGAAATTATTTGGACTCCTGCCCAGTCCTAGAAGCCCTACCAACATTTCCATAAGTCCCATCGGTTTTTATGGCTTGTCTCTCAAGAAGGCTGCTGAAACCTACATGAAGGAGAGACTTTAAAAAGATTTCTGCAGACATTTATTTTTGGCCAAATTATGATTGCTTGGAGGAAAAAGAAGCCACCATACAAATCTTGTTAGAGACTTCAGCAGGAACTCACAAACCCATGCAGAACTGAGATAAGCTAAAAAAAGCAAGAGCATCCAGGAAGGGAAGACAGACCAGCCAGCCAAATGCAACTCTAATTCCAACCCGTGACAGACCCCTGGGGCAGCTCCAAAGCCACTTAGCACAGGCATGGAGCGGGGCCAGGAGGAGATGCTGGCACCAAAAGAGCAGCTCTAGCAAGTCTAGCACGCGGTTCTGCGAGGGGACAGGCTTGGATGGGCTCAGACCCCAGCACTGCACAGCTCCCACCTGCACAGAGCTCTGACCGACAGCCCTGGGCCTCCCTGCACAGAAGAGCACGCACTGCGTGCAAGCCTTGGAAACCAGAGCAACAGCACATCTGTTAATGACACAAAAACATGCTGGCAGCACTCAGCACTGCTCGGCAGAGAAACCTGTATCAACTGTCTGCAGGCCAAGGTCTAAAGGGCAATCCGCCTCTGGAGACGGCTGCAGCTCCGAGGAGTGGCATCTTGCAGCTGGTGGGTGCCAGCACAGCACACAGCCCGGGGTGCTGCTCCATGCATTGAGCGTGCCCCAGGAGGACCAGGGAGGAGAGCACATGGAGCATCCCGAGAGGCGAGGGGCTGCATCCCCTCCCATGGCTCTCAGTCCTGTGCAGGCTACAACACACCGCTGTGATATCTACCAACAGGCAGCTCTCTCCCATACTGCAATAACCTTAGAAAGCAGAAGCTGGGAGCTCCTTCTCTTCCTGTTCCTGGGAGCAGGTCCAAACCTCCCTGTCCAGTCATGTGCTGCAGGTGCTGGGGATGCAGAGGAAGGCAGGGGAGGACAGCTGTTCCCCAGACATTTATGGTGGTAACGATTTATTTTGAACTATGAATTTGAACAGAAACTGTGTTGCACCTTAAATGTCACCGCTGGGCAGAAGGAGAGTCATGAATCTTCAGCAATCTTCACGAAACCATAATTTTCAGGTGGAAAATGAATATACATTGGAAGAAACACTCCAGCTGTGTCTCAGCAAAGCAATTAATGAAGGCAGTCTCATGACCAGTGCAGCCCACTCTGTCCCAGGGCTGGTGAGTCTCCTGCTCCTCTTTCTCCCTGTCGCCCTGCTTATTGTTTGCTTCATTGTTAATCCTACCTAATTTAAAAATAGGAAATTGATTTCTTATGTACCCATTACAAGCCAAATCATTTCTTTATTACAGCAAGCATCATATTTCATAAGCAAGTCATGGAAAATTAAAACCATGCCTGTTGCTTTGATGAAATAAAGGAAAGAAAGCTGGAGGGAAGGCACTGACAGCTGGGGGCTGTCATGCAACCAGGGTGCAGGTTAACTCTTTGCAGAACCCACAGCTCCTGCAGCTGCATTTTCCTCCCACAGACTTCCAATGGCATTGCTAAGCACTCCATCACTGCTAAAACTCCAAAGTCTCTAACAAAGGGAGAGCAGCTCCTTCAAACAAAGCAGGGCAGTGGTTTTGGTGCTGCAGATTATTTTGCTAACAGGTTTGCAGCGAGTCTGTGTGCCCAAGCAGATGTTTCCCAGTGCTAACACTGCAGACATTAGGTGCCAGATAGCGCTGCTGCAGTGCACACAACACAGGAACCCACTCAGCAGCACCACATCAGCACCACAGCCCTCACAGCACACACCGTTCTAGCAGGCAGAAGAACCACCTTTGTCTGAGGACAGATCTGGTCAGACCACACATGGGTTATGTCAGGACAGCAGGGCTGACCCGCAGCTCATTAGCAGTGTGCTGTGACTTGGCACAGATGGGG